GAACCCTTTCCTCTCATCAGGTACTTCTTGAAATCCCTAGTGATCATAGCCACTTCATCATCTTCCAAATCTGCACCTTCAGCAATTCTGAGAGCTAAGCTTCTCTCCTTTTTGGGGGTATCCATCTTCATGGTTTGTCTCCTCATTTCATAGGCAGTTAAATTTCCAATTAGTTCATCTAGTCTGAGAGTAGCAATGTTCTTGGATTCCTGAATTGCAGTATTTTGCTTTCCCATGTGACTGGCAGAACTCTTGTCAGAATCTTCTCAACCTTGTCTTCCTCCAGGATAATCCTTCCAAGAGATTCAAGTTCATTTGTCAAAGTGGTGAATCTAGTATACATCTCCTGGATAGTTTCTCCTTCCTTCATAGTAAAATTCTCATATTGAGAATACAGAAGTGTTCCTCTTGATCTTTTCACTTGAGGTGTTCCTTCATGAGCCACTTGCAGAGTGTCCCATATTTCCTTAGCAATTGTGCAACTTTGGATCCTACTGTATTCGTCTGGTCCTAGACCACATACAAGCCACTTCTTGGCCTTAGCATTTTTCTCCCACTTCCTCAGGTCCTCAGCAGTACAATCAGCCCTTATTTTTGGCACATCAATTCCTTCAGCATTCTTCTTAGTGGTTGCTAGGGGACCATCAGTGACTATGTCCCAAAGTTCATAATCTTCCCCTATAATGTGATCTCTCATTCAAGTTCTTCCACTAAGAATAGTACTGACCATTGAAAAGTGGAGGCCTGGCAGTGGATTGCCCTTCCCAGTTCCCAGGTGGTGCACTCATGTTGATCTTTTCCTAAGGGGTTAACCTCTTCAAGGATAACCTATTCTGATACCAATTGATGTTCTAAACGTCAATACCACACAAGAGGGGGGGGTGATTTGTGTGGTACCTAATTTTCGCACTAGAAAACCTGGTTCTTCTAGATATACTTACTATAACTGTTTGCGGAATTAAGAGTGCATAAAATAAAGAACACAGAGATTTTTACGTGGAAAACACCTGGCTCAAAAGGTGAAAAAACCACGACCTACTACTCAGTAGGATTTTCCCAAACTTCCACTAAAATCACTTAGCCAAAAACAGCATTTACAAACTCTTGTAAACCTAAGGATTAAACTCTAATCCCAGTGTAGCACACAACCTCAACTGTTGCGACACCTTCAAGTTAACTCTAACTTGAATACTCAATATACCTATTACAATTGCTTCTAGATAAAGCTGAAAGGTACAATATGAAACACCTACTACAATTGAACTAGAAATAAAGAAAAATACAATGGAATTGGTTCTTCACTCTTGGTTCATGTAGCTTCAGATTTGCACGCTTGAATCACACATAAATTGCTTGCAAAATTCGCCTAGCTCTTTTGCTCTCAATTTAGTTTAACTTCTGCGTATGTGCAATCACCTGTAAAAGAGAACAATCTTTATTATTTATAGAGTTAGTAATCAGAGTTTGATTAAAACTCGAATTGCTGATCCTTCATCAAATTCGAGTCCTAGTACACTTCAAACTCCAATCCTTTATCCTTGATCCGGATGTAGTTCTCTTTACATGAGGAGACTTCAACTCCTTATCCTATGCAACCTTTTCGATCAACTCAGAAGATATTGTTGCTGATCCTTGAGACTTAACTTCTTCACACGTATGTCACATGTGTAAGCATATCAACACTGTGTCTCACATGATGGACCTGGTTCATGACTGAATTCATTTTGTCAATCTTCAAAACTTCATCTGAACTTGGGCCAACACAAGCCTAACCACTGCTCTATAAAACTTACCTTTTACCAACAGTGGCACTTTCTTGTCACACAAGACTCCTGACGCTAACCTCCACTTCATCCACCCCACCCCTAAACGATGTGTGACATCCTCGTCGATCTCCCCAATCCCCTGAATAACCGACCCAAGGTACTTGAAACTACCCCTCTTGGGAATGACTTGAGAGTCAAGCCTCACGTCCACTCCCACTTCCGTCGGCTCGACGCTGAACTTGCACTCTAGGTATTCCGTCTTAGTCCTACTCAACTTGAAACCCCTAGACTCAAGGGCCTGTCTCCAAACCTCCAGCCTCTCATTGACGCCACCTCGTGTCTCATCAATCAGAACTATGTCATCAGCAAATAGCATACACCATGGCACCTCCCCTTGAATATGATGAGTCAGTGCATCCATCACCAGGGCAAATAGGAATGGGTTGAGCGCAAACCCTTGGTGCAACCCCCATAACAACCGGAAAATGCTCTGAGTCGCCTCTTATTGTCCTAACCCGAGTCTTAGCTCCATCATACATGTATTTAATCACCCTAATGTAGGCGGCCGGAACCCCTTTAGCCTCCAAGCAGCTCCATAGAACCTCCCCAGGAACCCTGTCGTACGCTTTCTCTAGATCAATAAACACCATGTGGAGATCCTTCTTCCTATCCTTGTACTGTTCCACCATCCTCCTAATAAGGTGGATAGCTTCTGTGGTAGAACGCCCCGGCATGAACCCGAACTGGTTGTCTGAAATAGACACCGTCCTTCGCACTCTCATTTCTACCACTCTCTCCCAAACTTTCATGGTATGACTCAGTAATTTGATACCCCTATAATTGTTACAACTCTAGATATCGCCTTTGTTCTTGTACAACAGAACCATTGTACTCCACCTCCACTCCCCCGGCATCTTATTCGTCTCGAATATAACAGTAAATAACCCAGTCAGCCATTCCAAGCCTGCTCTACTCACACACCTCCAAAGTTCAACCAGAATTTCGTCAGGCCCGATAGCTCTGCCGCTACTCATCTTACGCATTGCTTCCATCACCTCCTCGACCTCAATGGGCCTACAATAACTAAAGTCATGGAGACTGCCGGCATTCCTCAATTCACCTAGAGCAATATCCTGATCCTCTTCTTCATTTAGAAGTTTCTGAAAGTAGGTCTGCCAACTCCTCTTAATCTGGTCATCCCCCGTCAAAACTTTGTCGTCCTCATCTTTGATGCACCTCACTTGGTCCAGATCCCGAGCCCTCCTCTCTCTCGCCTTAGCCAGCCGGAATAACTTCTTCTCCCGCCTTTGTCCCCTAGTTCCTCATACAGACGAGCAAAAGTGAAAATTTAAATTTTGAAATATTTTAGTAAAAATCTTGGCTCCGCTATTATTTTGCATATGTAGGAAGATGTAGTCAATGAGATTAGTTGCCCACTCCTCATTCAGTTGCAACAAGCACTAAAAAGCACAAGGGACCCCTTGTTCCTGTGCAATGAAAAAACCAGTGTAGTTTAACACATTATAATTCAGGTAACCAATCAATGTTTTGTGTAAAAAGTAACGTAGATATTTTTAACTAATTCTTTTACACTGTAGAGTCAAGATAACAACGAAGCAACTACCAGTCGTCCACTTACACTAACAAGTCATAGTCCCATTAAAACTTCTATAATTTCGAAAGTCAGGTCAAGATCTCATGATTGACTAAGATACGTCAGAAATTATTAATATCTAAATATTGGAATTTAATTACCTTTTGTAATTGAACAAAATTGGCAGTTATGGTATGCGTTGGGTAAGCTAAAGGCAGAAAGAGTAGCGTGGAACGTAGCTAAGGAGAGTGGATTCAAGTTGGCTACTATTTGTCCTGGTCTAGTAACTGGTCCTGATTTCCTCAGCAGGAATCCAACCTCTACCATTGCTTATCTTAAAGGTGATCTCCAATTTTCTTATTACCTAAATAAATATAGTAATTAATATTCCATCTGTTTCAATTTAGATGACACATTTCACTTATCGAAAGTTAAACTATGTGAAGTTTGACCAACATTTTAAAATATATTTCGTTATCATATTGACATAAGAAAAATTGTAACTTATAGCACTTTTAATGTAGTTTTGTATATCTTAATTTTAATTTTAAAATAATTAGTTCACTAGCTTCAAAATTTAGTAAAATTATATTGACTCTCAATATGTGAAATATCCTATCTAAATTGAAACATAGGGTGTACATATTTTTGGATTCTGAGCTAATACTTGTGTATATGATATTCAGGAGCCCAAGAAATGTTCAGAAATGGACTCTTGGCGACAGTGGATGTTAATAGATTAGCATCATCACACGTATTGGTATTTGAAGAGATGAAAAACACGGCTTCTGGCAGATATATTAGCTTTGATCGAGTGATTAGAAGTGAAGAGGAATTTGAAAAATTAGCAAGAGAAACCGGCATCGAATTTAGCACGATGAGTACAAACACCATACTTGGTGCCTCCAATACTAATAGGATTGGTATTAAATTGTCAAACGCAAAGCTTTGCCGCTTAATGTCTGCAACAAATAGATGTAATAGTGAGCGCTAGCTCCCGTCAATAAATTTAATACTCTATGCCTCTATCAAAATTTTGGGCGCGCAGCAAGTAATGTATGATCCTAATTAGATTGGTGAGAGTAACGAGAATATTTCTAACTGGTTCTTGGCCAAATGAAACTATGACCCCGTTTGGACAGAAGAAATTTTTCCTCTTCTTTCCAAAAAAAAAAAAATTCACTTTTTTTCGAATCAGCATTGTTTATAAAATTTTGAATTTTCACTTGAAGGTACATTTTGGAAATTTTCGAAAATTTGAAAAACTTCAAAAAACTATTTTTCAAAATTTTGACTCAAATCACTCACAAAACTTCAAAAACAACCCAAAATCTTATTCATGTCCAAACACAACTCTAAATTTCAAATAGTATTTTCACTTGAAAAAAATTTCCCCTATTTTGGAATTTTACAATTCTTATGTCCAAACGCCCACTAAAAGTTCGAACCTTATGCTTTGAGGAAACTATGCAAACTACCTATTCAATTCAAAATAATTACCCGTTTTTGCCCATTCTCATAAGAGTTACATAAAATGTGCATCGTACCAAAATAAATTATCCGATCAAACTCCTCTCCCACAGCATGGAAAAACAAAATGCACAAACCCTAGCAGTCTCTTCCCTCTCATGGCTTCTCCATCCCTAGACACACTTCACATGCCTCTATTTTCTATTAAACTGAGTCGTATAGTACACTACCTTCCAACGAATTTCTCCAAATATGTCGTTCATGCACCGAATTCGTCAAGATTTTCTTCTTCGTTAAATTGATAAAAACTTGCCTTTCTTTTTGGTAGGTTCTTAAAAAAAATATTATGTGTATTTATCTTTCGAAAGTTTGGGAGAGGGTGGTGGAAGGAGGATAAGGAGGGAGGTGTCTACATCGGAAAACCAGTTCGGGTTCATGCCGGGTTGTTCTACTACGGAAGCTATCCACCTTATCAGGAGGTTGGTGGAACAATACAGGGATAAGAAGAGGGATTTGCATATGGTGTTTATTGACCTGGAGAAGGCGTATGACAAGGTCCCCAGGGACGTCCTTTGGAGATGTCTGGAGGTGAAAGGTGTGCCGGTAGCTTACATTAGGGCGATTAAGGATATGTATGATGGAGCTATGACTCGGGTTAGGACTGTGGGAGGTGACACAGAGCCTTTTCCGGTGGTTATGGGGTTACACCAAGGATCTGCGCTCAGCCCGTTCTTATTTGCCCTGGTGATGGATGCACTGACACAACATATCCAAGGAGAGGTGCCATGGTGTATATTGTTCGCTGATGATATAGTTTTGATTGATGAGACGCGAGGTGGAGTTAATGGGAGACTGGAGGTATGGAGGCAGGCCCTGGAATCTAAAGGTTTCAAGTTGAGTAGGACTAAGACGGAATATGTGGAATGTAAAGTTCAGCAAAGTGACTGGGGAAGCGGATGTGGAAGTTAGGCTTGACTCACAGGTCATCCTCAAGAGAGAAAGTTTTAAGTACTTAGGGTCAATAATCCGGGGAGATGGGGAGATAGACGGGGATGTTACGCACCGTATTGGGGTGGGGTGGATGAAATGGAGGTTAGCGTCTGGAGTCTTGTGTGACAAGAATGTGCCACCGAAACTCAAAGGTAAGTTTTATAGAGCGGTGGTTAGACCGGCCATGTTGTATGGGGCTGAGTGTTGGCCAGTCAAGAAGTCACATATCCAGAAGATGAAAGTTGCAGAAATGAGGATGTTGAGGTGGATGTGTGGGCACACTAGGCTGGATAACATTAGGAATGAAGATATTCGGGAGATGGTGGGCGTGGCTCCGGTGGACAACAAGATGCGGGAAGCGCGGCTTAGATGGTTTGGACACGTGCAGAGGAGAAGCCTAGATGCCCCGGTTAGGAGGTGTGAGCGGTTGGCTTTGGCAGGTACGAGAAGAGGTAGAGGGCGGCCTAAGAAGTATTGGGTCGAGGTGATCAGACAGGACATGGCGCGGCTCCAGATTTCCGAGGACATGGCTCTAGATAGGAAGGAGTGGAGGTCGAGCATCAGGGTCTTAGGTTAAGGGGTAGTCGAGCATTAGGGTTGTAGGTTAAGGGTTGTAGGTTTAAGGGGTAGTCGGCAGTCGATTTATGTTGTGTTTCAGACTTTTGTATAATATTTGTGGTACTGCTTTTCCATTTATTTGATGTCTCTCACGTTGCTGATATTATTTTTTCGGGTTTTGTTGTCACAGATCTATTGTCTCAGAGCCGAGGGTCTCCCGGAAACAGCCTCTCTACCCCCTCCGGGGTAGGGGTAAGGTCTGCGTACACTTTACCTTCCCCAGACCCACTGAGTGGGAATTTACTGGATTGTTGTTGTTGTTGTTGATGTGTATTTATCTTTCAACTTTTTCTCCCCAAGGTGGATAAAATGAAAGATTTTCTTTTGTTAAGTATGAGAGTCAAATATGCAAGAGGTATGAAGAGCTTAATTAAGGACTACAAGGCTATTAGGTATATGTCTATCCTAATCGCGAATCCATTCCCCGATGTCCAGGTTCAAGAACTTGCTCTACTCAATCCTATGTATAATCTAGAATTCCCACTTTCGAGTTCAACTCTAGATTCGTAGATATTATTCAATTGGTGATCAAGCAATCAAATAATTAAGTACAGGATTAAATAAATAAAACTAAGAAATCAAAATCAATATCCGAATAACAATAGTCATGAAAGAACCACAACCCTAGAACGTGAAGTATAGCTCCACATAGACATGGTAGCAAAACAACAAATCATACAAAGAAACATAAAAATTACTAAGTTTGATGGAAGAAAAGATAGAACTTGATGAATTCCGGCCTCTACGGCGGCTCTATGCTTGTGTTTTCCTCTCAAAAACGTCCTCCTCCCTCAAAATAGGTTTTAGGATGGCTTTTATATCAATTGGAAGCGTCTTGGGGTGAAAATAACCGAGTCTAAGTCGGAATAGGATACTCTAGCGACCCGAGCGTCCAGGGCAGCGTGGGGCGCTAGCCCTGACGCTCAAAATACTGTGGCCCTCAAAATTGACTTTTTGCCTTTTTTCTCCGATTTCGCTCCAATTCGCGCCCTTTCATCCCAAATTGTATCTGAATGATTCCTACACATAGGAACACCATAATATAGCACAAATCATCATATTAAACATCTCAAATCATCGAAACAAGAGCAAAATGCGAGGCGATATATATCAAAATATACATACTTTATGCCGATTATCAACACCCCACACTTAGACTCTTGCTCGTCCTCGAGCAATGGAACTAAATCAATCCCCCAAAACATACTTATCACTATGAAAGAGCACTTCACAATTAATTCAATCAAACACCCTACCTTTGGACTATGATCTATATCGGCAATTAAGTATGAACACGCAAATTTCACATTTTTCCCGTTTTCAAATTAGCCCAAGTATATACAATACTATTCAACCAACTCAAGCAACCTCTCCACAACCACCTTACCTCAAGAGATGACTCGTTACACTAAGTATCCTCAACTTACACACTCACCCAACAAAAGAAAGTGTACAACATCACCAATCCATCATAAGACCAAGTGCCCTCGCCACAAACCAAAGAGTGATTATCAAAGTCCACATTTAAATATGTCATTGAACATAATTCAAGGACATCACACAACTGAACAAAATTCACTCATGTGAATCCCGTGGTCGTACCATAAGCTTGCCCGTAGTTTATATCTCTACTAATCTAAGCTAGCCAAATCTAGGATCAATTACGACTTTAAGGTTGTAATGTAGGCTAAGGGACGGGTAACATATATTTAGGAATAGTGACTAACCCTCCTAAGCACTTTAATACACCACACTCGAAAATCAAGCTCGATTTCTTCTCAACCCATTCACCTGTCATACACCATATATAACATGGCCCTTTTTTCAATTAAGCACCTCCATGGATTCACTAGCATGAATGAAAAAAATATTAAGAGGTGTGTATCTTTTCACATTATTTGAACTTTTATTTGCTTTTTCTTGCACATTTTTTTTCTATACACACTCCATGCATTGAAGTTCTTAAGCTAGTGACTTTTATTCACAATCTTAGTGCACCTTAAGGGTCCTTCCACGATTTCACTCGAAAGTAACTCCCAAATCCCTCCCCTTACTACTTTTAGCGACTAAGTGCCTTAGGAGGTAAAGGTTCAACTTCTCAAATCAAGAACAAAGTAGAAGTTTGGCTTGTAATGTGGGTGCCAAGGAAACGGTCTATAGGCTCAAAGGGCTAGCAATGGGAAAATTTTATTTATAAGTGACAAGCACCTTCATGGTCAAGCAAGAAACGCCTACATCATCTCCTCGACTAGCATAACTTAATGATTTCGCGTTGATTAACACACGGGGCAAGTTCTAGACTACACAGGACAACACAGAATATCAACAATCCTTACACACACATGGCACTTGACTCACTCAAGACGGTTCTGTGCAACTCTTAAGTCAAGCAAGCTAGCAAGTTGAGAATTTTAAAGCAATAATGCACTAGGTAGCATACAAGTCAATCAACTGAGAAGAAAGCATCGAAGAGAAGAAAGCATCGAAGAGTAGGCTACTTACTTTACTTGGGCATTACAATTTAAATCATATATGCAGAAAGATAGAGCGCATGCCATAACTTAAATTGCCAACAGCAACCATGTCAATCGGTATCTCAAAGCACCTCACTTTCCCTTTTCCTTCTCCTAAGAAAGAAAAAAAAATAATAAAAAAAAACTAAACTAGAATACCCGGTTCGAGCTACACCCTTGGAAAAGAACCAGTGTCGAAAGAAAAACCAAGGGATACTACCTAACTACCTAAAAACTAAAAAAATAAAAAGAAAATCTTTTTGGTATTTTTAATTGGACTTTAATCCCTCAAGAAAATTGTCCAACAGATCCATCGTCGGGAAAAGTCCAAGCTTTTTCTGATTTTTTTTTAATTTTCATTTTTTTTCGAATATATTTTTTTTCTTTACATAATATCTACTACACTAAAAAAGAATACTACAACTAACCTAGGATAGCACAAAAAAAATTATCCAAACAATCTCCTCACCCCACACTTAAAATTGTGCAATGTCCTCAATGCACACTGTAAA